GGGAAAGAATGCTCATTACTTCCAAGTTAAACACTGTCCGGTTCCAACTCTTTCAGTAGCCACAGTTACAAAATATGTACTCAAAAGATATGCTACCTTGTGAGCTTCTCCTGAGAACTGCAGGCTTTCTATTTAACTTTCTATCTCCTACCGAGGCATCTTCTCTCTCCCGTACCCAAAACAACACTTCTTCAGTGGAATAGCTCGTTTTCTTCATTCCATAATGTTTGCACAACAATCTCGGTATAACACTGCCAGTACTGACGATAACGATACGATTGTGAAAAACAGACTTCAGAGGTTTGCTTGTTTCATGGGTTTTTGAAAAAGCTAATTCCTCTCTCTGAAGTAATGCCTGGGTCTACAAGGAGGTCCCTCTGTGGTGGTGGTGGTTGTCTCCGTGATCTCGGGAGATATTAAAGTTTAATTTTGTCACGTCGTTGGGTAAGATATTCACATGAATCTAGAGTCAAAGCTGCACAACGTGGCACCTTCAAAGATGCAACATCCACCTCTTTCTCTTTCCAGCCCATTGCTTCCACCCTTTAGGTGTCAACCTTTTGAAAAACAATTATGGTTCATGTCGCGCGCACCTCGCCAGCAAGGAGCACGCAACACTCAGGATTCTTCTGATGCACGCTTTATTGGAGTTTCTTCTACATTCTTCAAGATGGCGGAAAGACCCCGAGCCGGACGCGAGCCTGCCTTTTATAGCCTCTCGGGTGACGTGGCCCAATTCTATTGGTCAATGCCGGCCTGCGTCATTCTGACGAACCAAGCGCCTCTTCTGCGCAGGCGTGAACCACCGTCACCGGCGGATTCACCTCCAGAATTCATGCAGGGCATGAAGAACCCGGAAATAATGGCGCGTGACAGGTTCATATCTCCATTCTCTCTGTTTTCTTTTCTCAGATTCATTAAGTTACAACTGATCTGCCACAAACCATATATTTAAAGTGCAACATTTGATGTCTTTGTTCAAGCTGTCACGTATTAACAAGTTTTTTCTTTTATCGCTGAGATTTTTTCCCCTAAGGCCATATCAAATTTGCTTATCCCTTCACCCGCTAAGTTGTCCCCAGATTTTTCTATTACAAACAAAGTTACTATAGATATTTGTGAATGTATCTTTGAGTGGACATGTGCTTTTTTTTTCTCTCTTGGGCAAATTACATTGGAGGGAGTGGCTGGGCATATGGCAGGTGTAACTTTAACTCTTCAAGGAGCTGTCAAACTGTTTATGAAGTGTGGCTTTATATGCCCACCTTGCACAAAAGCCCTGAGGGATTCACACCATCCTGGCGCTGGGTGTGACCAAGTTTGTTGGATTTAAGCATTCTAGGCAGTGGGCACTGTTATCGCACTGTGGTATATTTTGCATTTTCCTAGTTTTTAATGATGCTGGACATCTTTTCATGGACTCACCTGATGCTGTCTTTCTTTCTTGGCCAGGTGTTTAAATCTTTTGCCATTTTTGGTTGGCATGTCTCTAATCTGACTGAGTACTAAGAGTTCTTTGTACCCTCTCTCTATAGCCCTTTGTTGGGTAAGTGCTCCTGTATTTTCTCAAAGTTTGTGGCTTACTTTTTAAAAGATTTCATGAACACTGTATTTTTTATTAATCAGAAATAATTTTAGCTTATTTTTCAGGAGACTGGTCGCATCAGATGGGAAAAAAGTATGACAATTTTAAAAAGATCTGACTTCTTGACGGATCACAGAGCATAATGAAATATACAAGTTTTAAATAAATAAAAACAACGGGGAAGTCACCAACAGGCGGAAAAGGGCATTTGTATGTGTTACAATAATTTAATCTCCCTGTACATTTCTGTCCGTATGAGAAGCCGAGATATATATGCCCTTTATAATATTATCTGCTTTGAGGCATTCAGGTCAATCCAGATGGCAAAAGTGGAACTCAATCACTGGTGAAATATTTAAAAATATATATATTAAATAAAAAGTGTCTTTACAAGTTAAAAGTAACCTTCCACAATGCAGAAAGTTAGTCCAAATTAATTGCTTGTTCAGAAGTAAGTTGCTAACAGCTTGAGTGTTTCTAGACTTGTTCTTCAAAGTGAGTCTTATGTTACTGAGATCAGAACGCTCCCTGTGAGGGCACCCTCTTCACAAATCGCAAGTGTGCTTTTCAAACTGACTTACTAACACGTGGGGCCTGTGATTATAGGACCTGCTCCTCGACTCTAAGACGGGATCGAGACACGTGGTAGAACGTGATTATGTTTTCCTCCATCTGCTTTGTGGGAGCATCCTGGAGATGACTTTCTAGTAGCATTTGGAGATAGGTCCCTTCTTTGTAGCTGTATAGTTCTCCGATATAGGACCTAGTCTTCTACTGCAGGACAACCAAGTTGGGTCAAGTTTTATTGCCATAATTTTCTTTTGCTTTTACAAATAGAACTATGATGAATAACCCTGGGTCACACTTCTTCCTATTTTGCCTGAGTAACATTGGGCTACTTCATCAAACTGGAATATCTAGGTCAAACAATATTGCCATTCATTATAGTCAAGCCTGCTTAAGAAAGGCACAAATATGTCCGCTGGCGCTGTGTCACGAGCAATTTTAAAATTTTTGACAATCTGACAGATGAGAAATGATCTCAGCAACCCATATAACTTCATTTCTCTCACTATATATGAAACTGGGCATCATCTTGTGGTAAAGGACTATTTACATTTCTTTTTCCCATCAGGCAACAGCTATTTTTTCTCAGCTATAGTATTTAGAAGTCCTTTGTAATATAAATTGGAATTTTGGTTCCAATTAGTCATTGGTGCTGGTACTTCGGGATTATGTCTTACTGTGCATGTTTTAAAATGACAAGTAATTGTTTTCTATCAGGAGCTTAATTGTAAAAAGCGTGTACGCATTTCCATAGAACGCGTATTATTGAATTAAGACGCTTCTGTAATGCCAAGGTCTCTTATTACCTCTATTGTCCATCTTGTAACTGTCTGGGGCTCCCTTCTCTGAGATGCCTAATGCACCGCACCTACAGCTGGGGTCACCCCATCCATTCGCCTCTCGTCCTGCTCACACAACCCACAGCCTGTCACACGCTCGGCCCCTTCCAGACACTGCTTTGCGAGCCTGGGATTTTCGCTCATATCTTTCTTCCCATTGAGTGACGATGGGATATCTAGTTTCTCAGTATAAATTCAAGAGCATCTCTACATTCTTCGCATGCTATCTGTTGAATATTATCTTTCTCCACTCTCCTCCACCCACTGTCTAGACAGATCATTGATCTCAACAAAAGCCAACCTCAGACCCTTATCCAACCATGGGCTCATTGTCTGAGTCTCTTTCTTGTCTTCTCCATCCAAGGAGATTAGTTAGTGTGCTGCATGGTAAGTGCCCTGTGTTTTCAATAAATCCCACATTCACCCAACCAATCCTCACTCAGAGCATTTGCCTAGCACCATATTAACTCTGAATAAGATATCTTCACAATAGGATGACCTTGTGTGCTTTACTAAAGGACTGGAAGAAAGAGACCTACAACGACCATGATAACATGCAATACCCAAGGACAGAGGCATCTCTTGGAGGGAAGGAAGGGGAATTCATCTTAAATGTAACTGAGGCTAAGAAAAATATGAGAAATGAGATGTTTGGCATATTCAAGTGTGAATGAGAGTTTGCTAAGTTGACAGAGGGGAAAGGAACATTCTAGGCAAATGTAATGTCCTAGGAGTGAGAAATGTCATTATTCTTCACCCTGCCCTTCAGCTTTCTTGGAGCAAAACGCCTTCCCTCTTGACTGTATGCCTTCTGCACCTCAATCGCCTAATGCATAACAAATTAAGAAAAATTGTGTTTATCTCATAGAATCATTGTGAAGAACAAACAACGTAACAAGGCCAGAGGACCCAGAAAATTCCTGACACACAGAGAAAACACAACAAATCGTTAAGTGTGGATGTATTATCTTACCTCTCATCAGGAAGGTACAGATTTAAATACATAATCATTACTTTGTTCACTAACAAAACAATCTTCTAAATTGCCAAGCTCTTACTATATGCATTGTCCTGTTTGTCATTAGTGTCTGTAGGATCTAGATGAGAGCTTAATCCTTTATTTCTGCTTTGTATCAAGCACAGTATCTGTAAAATACTTTGTAGACCCCCCAAAAGTTCAGAATGTTAAATATATATATACTGTTACCTTTACTCACTGAGCATGTTGACGTGTTAACATGCAGGTCAGAGCTATTCCCTCATGACACCCTAACTCTGAAAAGCATGGGAGTAGTAATTTGATAATTTTAAAGGGACTTATCATGCAAACATACTTCTACTATTTAAAAATAATGGATCACAGCATTATAATGATTTCAGATTGAGTAGATTCGATAGGTCAGAGTAGATATGAACTCCTCTGGGACCATTTACAGCTCACCAACCACCGAGAGCATCCGAAGGAATCACAGTGCTCTTTGCCGTATGCCAGCCACTTCCCTCTCATCCCCGAAGTTGCTTTGCAGTCCTATTTTCCCACCAGTATTCCACGTGACTTACTTATAATCTATCTGACAGCACGGGGGGGGCGGGGAGGACGTTAGTCATCCTAAAATCTTTCCTCAACCTGTTCTCCTGGAGATAAATACGTGAGTGAAGAATTAACGCTCAGACCAATGAAACTCAGTCCTGCAATGGGAGGTAATGGGTGTATTTTGGGAAACGTGTCAGACAAAGGAGGAAAAATGAAACTGACTCACAATACTGAGTAACTCACAACACAACAGGGAAAGGAAATGGTGTCTTCTCTGTGGAGAGGAATGTTTAGCAGATAAACACAATTATCTAATTAAGTAAAGCCGACTGATCTTTTCTTAGTGTAAACAGGCTGTTCACATGGCTGCAGTAGCCCTCTGCAGGGTATAAAAGGCAAGAGAGGGCAGGGAGAGATCAAACTCAGAAACTTCACTCTCCTGGAAACCCACCCATCACCTCCAACCTCCAACATCATGGTCAACTCCTCTTGCGGCTACGTCTGCTCCGAGCAGGGATGTGACCAGGAGAGCTGCTGCCAGCCCAGCTGCTGCCAGCCCAGCTGTTTCCAGACCACCTGCTGCAGGACCACCTGCTGCCGCCCCAGCTGCTGTGTGTCCAGCTGCTGCAGGCCCCAGTGCTGCCAGTCTGTGTGCTGCCAGCCCACCTGCTGCAGGCCCCAGTGCTGCCGCCCCAGCTGCTGTGTGTCCAGCTGCTGCAGGCCCCAGTGCTGCATCTCCAGCTGCTGCCGCCCCTCCTGTGGTAGCTCCAGCTGCTGTGGCTCCAGCTGCTGCCGCCGCTGCTGGTCCTGCTGCCTGCGCCCCGTGTGTGGCCAGGTGTCCTGCCACACCTCTTGCTACCACCCCACCTGCGTCATCTCCACCTGCCCCCGCCCCATGTGCTGCGCCATCCCCTGCTGCTGAGCCCCTGTCCTGTGCCCACCTCCTGCTTCCCCTCGGTCCTCACAGAAGTGGGCCTGTTTCGTGCTGACCCTCAGGAGAAATGAGGTCCAGTTAACAGGGTGGGCCTCGTGACTCCCAGGAGCCCACCGTCTTCTCAATGGGCTCTGAGAATCTGGTCTGGCTCATTTTAAACTGACTTCTCTGCTAGTTTTTCCTTCCATCATTGGCACCAAATGTAAATGAATTTGTAGTCCTCCAGCTATGAAATTAGCCGGCTCCTCCCGATTACTTATTCTCCTCTTCACTTGGGGCTCTTACTATTCTTGCCAATGGGTTAGACAGCAACTGAACCCTCAGTAAAGCACTAATCCACACCCTCAGACCCAGGAGGAGGGCGCTTTTATTCTTTTTGTCACCTACAGTAAATTTCGTATGTTTGGTTGCTTCTCTGCTTTCTAATAAATATCTCTGCATGTCAAAACGCATAGTTCTCTATTTTTTATAATCACTTTGCTTAGTAACTGGGCAATTGCATTTTACATGAAGATGAACAAAGAACAGCCCCTTTGAAATCATTTTAAAAATAGGGCCAGGGATTTAGCCCAGTGGCGCTGCTGCCTGCCTCTCAAGTGCAAGGTCCTGAGTTCAATCCGCTGCACCAAAATAAATAAATGAATAAATAATAAAAAGGAATCAATGGGCTGAAATATACTTTAAACTCAACACAGAAGAGTACAGAGTTATTATGATTCCCTGCTTCTGAAATCTTAGAAATTACAAACTTCAATCCTGGGGTTTCACATATCACAAACTTTCATATACATTAATAAAAATGAAAAGCTTGAGTTTTATTTTCTCTGTGACTTTAGAGCAGATCAGCAACAGGACTTTCTTCTACCTGAAGGAAAGGGATGCAGCCTCACAGGGAAATTTCCTCTCCCATCGTCCCATGCCACCCCCTCAGTCAGCAAAGCCAATGTGAAAGGAAGCTTATCACAACAAGTGTAGGAATCAGAGAAGATTTTTAAATGAAAGTTTAATAGAATCAACTTTGTAAATACAAGGAGACAGAGAGCCAATGAACAGAAATAGCACAGTGAAACTGAGGAGAGAGAACAGAGTGAAATAAAGGCTCACAGGCGAAACTAGGTTTAAACAGAGGGTTAGTTAGCCACAAAAAGAATATGTTTAAAAGCAAAGGTGAAACCTACACATGTTTGTAGTACTATGTTAGCAAATTATGAGCAATCGACTATTTCTATACCAATATAAATTAAGAAATTAATTCCAGAAAATGTAGAAAACGTAAACAAACCAGTACCATGTAAGAAGCCAAACCCCGGACCCAGAATGAACCCTCACAGAAGTCAGAGCGTGCGGAAAGAAGACACCTGTACTCATCTTGACACGGGTTGGTGAACCGTGAAGGCGGAGTCCCCAAGCCCAGGCCTGCTGGGATCTGGCCGTAAGGCAGAGGGCGAGGAGCAGGTGAGCCTCACTCACACTTCCAGCTGTGACCTGTTGCCGGCTGGCATGGCTGCCTGAGCTCCGCCCCCGGTAAGATGCGGGTGGCATCAGATTCTCACAGGAAGCCTCACAGGCCTGGGATCTGGGGTGCCGCTCCTTATGGGAGTCCTAAAGTCATGGTAACGGGGACAAAGTGCACAAAGAAATAATATAATCGGTGTACACAGTAAAGGCGATGCACTTGAATAAGCCCAGCTCCACCACCTTCCCATCCTCATTAGTGGAAACGTTGTCTGCCATAGGACAGATGGCCAAGAAAGCCATAAAAATACACTCAACATCACTGGCCACCAGAGAAATGCAAAGTAAAACAATACTGAGAGCTCGCCCTCTTCTAGGAAGAATGGCCGGCATCAAGGAACTAAATGATAACAGATGCTGGCAAGGCTGTGGGAGGAAAAGGACCTTCTCCGCTGGTGGTAGGAATGTAAACCAGTACAACCACTATGGAGGTGCGTTGGGAGAATCCTCAAAAAACAAAAAATGGAAATTCCAGTTGACCCAGTATTACTTCTGGAAATCTTGCCCAAAAAGTTGAAGTCATCATAGTACAGTGATAAATACATATGCATGTTGATAGCAGTATAACTCATCATAACTAAATACTGGAAGCAGCCCATAGGCCCAACAGGTGAATACAAAGGAAACACAGCATTTGCACACAGTGGAGGACTACTCTGCCATAAAGAAGGATAAACCTGAGGCATCTATAGGTAAATGGATGCCCCTCAAGACCAAAAGGTTAAGTAAAATAAAACAGACACGCACGTGTAAATATCACAGGGTTTTTTCTCTCATGTGAGAAATAAAAATGTAAATAAAGAGCAAAATAAAAGATAGAAAGATCTATTTCAACAAACAGCAAGTGGATCAAGAGTTGGAGGGTGCAGGGAGGGACAGGAGGGAAGGGGACAAAAGGAATTGACGTGTTATGAACATGTACACACTCCCCATGATAAACGTAATCAGTATGTACTGCAAACAAGCACTAACAAAAATATGTAATTCTTTTGAAAAAGAAAAGTAGTCTTTCATTAAAACGTCCAGATGTCGAAATTATTGGGAACTGTTACCTTAAGGAGAGCCTCTTCCATTCCATTCAAACTGTAAAAAAAAAAAAAGAAAGAAAGAAAGAAAGAAAGAAAGAAAGAACACCAATACAAAAGAAGAGGAAAATCTTCTTAACTCATTGTAATCATAGTCTCAAAATCAGACAAGAACTGTGTCATACAGGGAACTGATTGGCCTGCATTCCTAAAGATTACAGATGCAAAAATCTAATAAATATGATTAAATCAAACAGCAGTATGTGAAGAAATACTACATCATAAGCAACTGGAGTTTGTCCTAGAAATTTGGGAATGTTTCAAAATTAGAAAATATTTAAATATGTTTTGTGGTGTTGGGACATTGAAGGAGACCCGAGGTGAGGATCCCTCTGTGTGTCTGCAGCCTGGGGACCGACCGGTGGAGCGCTGCGGTTCCAGCTCCGGACTGGAGTCAGGAAATACCACTATCGGGGCAGTTAGGAAGGAGATGCCCCCTCTCACCCAGGTTTCCTCGTTGTAATCAGGTCTTCTGTGGATTGGATTTTAAAGTATGGCTCGTTTATTCATACAGGAAAACAGGGGAGAGCGAAAAAGCTCCGGAAGCTTCCGAACACGGGTGACGCAAGCTTACTCGGAATCTGGAGCAGGAGTTCTCAAGCTGTAGAACATTTGGAGTAAGACGCCACTCGCCAGGGTGATCTAAACAACATGGTGAGTGTTTAACTTTTAAACGCTTGCTACAAAAAAAGACAGGTCACCGAGAATGACGGTGGGGGGAATGTATTCAAAGTCAAGGGGTGAATATTTTAAGTGTTTTGAAGGGGATTAAAGGCAATGTGTCTTCTACTGTAATAAAATTTTTTAAAAATTTAAACGTTGGGCCAGGGATTTAGCTCAGGGGTTCGGTGGCCTGCCTTGCAAGCGCAAGGACCCCAGTTCAATCCCCGCCCCCCCAAAAAAAAATTAAAAAAAATAAAAATGTAAACCTTAACTGTATCTTTTTGTGTCAATTGCTCAAACACACACCCCTAAGTATGGCTTATGGGTACCACGCATCTTTAACTGAGGGTTAATGGAACCGTTAGAGGCCACATCCTTCTCCAAAAGGTGATTTCACAGAAGAATGTCCAAGTAAGACTTTGGATACCGCCATTGTCACCATCACCTAGACCATCTGTGGTTTTCCGGTGGTTTCAGCCAGCCAAATGGACAGAGGGACAGAGGAAAATCATATCCACCGGTGGAACCCCAAGCCACAGAATGGTGAGAATACTTAACCAGAGAGTTGTGACGTATCTGAGTAGAAGTGTGTCCTACTGTCCACGCATAACTGAGACCAATAACTGGTGGGCCCATAAAAAATGAAACTATGAGGGCATTTTCATACCTAAAGAAAATAAAACTCCCATAGTAAAAAGAAATAAACCCTATAGAATATTACACAGTAAATAAACATGACGAACCACACAAGGAAACGGACCACTGCTTCTCCCTCATTGTGGCTCTGAGCTTGCTCCAGAGAAGCTCAGGGGCTTCTCTGACCTGAGACAAATGAATTTTTTACTTGGGATTCCCACATCATGAAGAAGTCTAAAGTTGGATTCCAGACCTGCTTTAGCTGCAACTTTTTAGTACGGATATATGTGTTTTTCTACTTGCATTAACTTTACCCAAAGAACATGGTTGGCTAGACTTCTCTGGAGGAGAGCACTGAATTTTTCCAGTTCTCCTGCCTCAGCTGCGAGAGCTCCTTCAGAGACTCAGCTGTTAATGGCTCTGAAGTAATACCTTTTGACTCTGTGAAAGGACATTAGAACCCCAGCCCCAACACTGAGTCACCCCGAAGTTACAGCACTAGTTGAACAATCTGATCTCAGATGGTCAGAGCCAAACAAAATGGCAGCTGATGGTCTTCATTCTGGCATCTGCTGACCTTTGTTTCTTCTAGCCCAGAAATTTATTACTACAATTTGTATCCCGAATCCCCATACCAGTGAGGGAGAATCTTTTAGAGACCGAGTGCCCAAGCTTTAACCCCAAACCCACTTACGTATCACGAAGTGCCAACACTGCAATTAAGCCTGAATGCCAAGGTTTTAAGTTTAGAGGAAACAACTCATACACTAACATCATTTGTCTCAAAAGAAAAACAAGTAACACGAGTGCCATCGGTTCGCCACCACTGAAGCCTGCATCTAGATACTCAGAAGAGAGATGGACTTTAACTTGAGTTCTTCATTATGTTTTCCTCAGAAGAAAAATATTATTAATCCTGGGGATAATCTATGCTTATTTTAAGCAATGAAACAGAATTTCTGACAAAATGCTTGATTAAGTCACCGTCTACCTTCATAAAATCCTTATTAGACATTTTTAGGTATTTCAAATACAACCTTTTGAATACCTAACCAAATATAAACTGATAGGAGATAGACAATATGAACT